TTGTTGGAAAAGGTACTTTGTCTGATGGTCTTTACCGTATTGATTTGCAAAATGATGCCACACTTAATTCATTTCATGTGCATACTGGCTCCAAAAGACCCAGTGTTGACGAGAATTCCTCTATGTTATGGCACCGAAGATTGGGTCACATCTCCATTGAAAGAATTAAGCGATTAGTTAATGATGGGGTACTTAGTACTCTTGATTTTTCTGATTTTGAAACTTGTGTAGATTGCATTAAGGGTAAGCAAACAAACAAGTTTAAAAAGGGTGCCAATAGGAGTTCAAGTATATTGGAAATCATACATACTGATATATGTTGTCCAGAAATGGACATGCCGGGTCAGAAATATTTTATCACCTTTATTGACGATTACTCTCGGTATACCTATGTGTATTTGCTTCAAAATAAGTATGAAGCATTGGATGCCTTCAAGTCTTTTAAGGCTGAAGTTGAGAATCAATGTGGGAAGCGAATACAAATAGTTAGATCCGATAGAGGTGGTGAATATTATGGTAGATACACTGAAAATGGACAAGCACCTAGTGCGTTTGCTAAGTTTCTTCAAGAGCATGGGATTGTTGCCCAATACACCATGCCTGGGTCTCCGGACCAAAATGGTGTTGCGGAAAGGAGAAACCGAACGCTTATTGACATGGTGCGGAGTATGCTTAGCAACTCCAATCTTCCTAAGTTTTTGTGGGCTGAAGCACTAAAGACGGCAACGTATATTTTGAACCGAGTTCCAACCAAGGCTGTCCCTAAAACACCTTTTGAGTTATTCAAAGGTTGGAAACCGAGTTTGAAACATATGCGTATTTGGGGATGCCCGTCTGAAGTGAGAATTTATAACCCACATGAGAAGAAATTGGACCCAAGGACTATTAGTGGTTTCTTTATTGGATACGCACAGTCCTCTAAGGGTTACAAGTTTTATTGTCCATCTCATACGACTAGGATTGTGGAATCAAGAAATGCAAAATTTCTTGAGAATGACGTAGTTAGTGGGAGAGATCGGTTCAGGGATTTAATTCCTGTTCATGATCATATGGAATCCCAACCTTCCACGTCATCACAGAGGTTGATTATTGTACACAGTACCCCTCAAGATCAAATTGGTACTGATCAATCTAATATTCCACAATATGCTGGAAATATTCCAGTGGATCCACCTATTCAGGATAATCAAATTCCTGAGGAGGTTGTTGAACCGGAAGATCCTCATGGAGATGATGGTTTAGCATTAAGAAGATCTACTCGAGTTAGAAAGCCAGCAATTTCTAGCGATTATGAAGTGTATTTGCAAGAAAATGACATTGGAGCCGAAAATGATCTTGAAACGTTTTCACAAGCCATGAGTAGCCCGGAGTCCGATTTATGGCACAAAGCTATGAAGGAAGAAATGGACTCCATGAAGAGTAACAAAGTCTGGGATCTAATAGAGTTGCCTAATGGGGCCAAGGCTGTTGGCTGTAAATGGGTCTATAAGACCAAAAGAGATTCATTAGGCAACATTGATAGATATAAAGCAAGACTTGTTGCTAAAGGCTTTACTCAAATCGAAGGAATTGACTACAAGGAGACATTCTCTCCTGTTTCTAAGAAAGATTCCCTTCGTGTGATTTTAGCTTTAGTTGCACATTTCAATCTTGAATTGCAACAAATGGATGTGAAAACAGCATTTCTTAATGGTGATCTAGAAGAAGAGGTTTACATGAAACAACCTGAAGGTTTTTCTTCTAGTCATGGTGAGCATTTAGTTTGCAAGCTTAATAAATCCATTTACGGTTTAAAACAAGCCTCCCGACAATGGTATCTTAAGTTCGATGGGATAATTTCTTCATTTGGCTTTGTTGAAAGTCCCATGGATCATTGTATATACCAGAAGGTTAGTGGGAGTAACATTTGTTTTCTTGTTTTATATGTGGATGACATTTTGCTCGCAACAAATGATAAGGGGATGCTACATGAAGTGAAACAATTTCTCTTTAAAAACTTTGATATGAAGGATATGGGTGAGACATCTTTTGTCATTGGCATAAAGATTCATAGGGATAGATCTCTTGGTGTTCTGGGTCTATCACAAGAAACCTATATCAACAAAGTTTTAGAGAGGTTTCAGATGAAGGATTGTTCACCAAGTGTTGCTCCCATAGTGAGAGGAGATAAATTCAGTTTGGACCAATGTCCAAAGAATGATTTTGAAAGAAAATCCTTGCATAATATCCCATATGCGTCGGCAGTTGGTTGCTTGGGATATATCCAGGTTTGTACTAGGCCGGATATTTCCTTTGCTGTCGGGATGTTGGGCCGCTACCAGAGTAATCCAGGTCTGGACCACTGGAGAGCTGCTAAGAAGGTCATGAGGTATCTTAAGGGAACAATTGATTACAAGCTTGTGTATAGAAGAACTGACAACTTGGAAGTTGTGGGTTATTCTGACTCGGACTACGCCGGTTGTGTTGATTCAAGGAAATCGACTTCGGGATATATTTTTATCATGGCCGGTGGAGCTGTTTCTTGGAAGAGCGCCAAACAAACTTCGGTCGCTACTTCTACTATGGAGGCCGAGCTCATTTCTTGTTTTGAGGCTACATCGCAAGGTGTATGGCTTAAGAATTTCATTTCTGGGCTTAGAGTTATGGACTCAATATCTAGGCCATTAAAGATTTATTGTGACAACTCTGCTGCGGTCTTCCTATCAAAGAATGACAAAAGTGGGAGTCGAATTAAGCATATCGACACCAAATATTTGTCTATAAGGGAGCGCGTCAAAAATAAGATAGTGGTCATTGAGCACATTAGCACAGAGTTGATGATTGCTGATCCTTTGACTAAAGGCATGCCACCATTCAAATTCAAGGATCATGTGTCGAATATGGGACTTTGTTCCAATTTGTATTAATACATTCAGTTATTTACGAAATTCTTATGCATTAAGACATTTTTCTCATTAAGATGTGCATACTTCATTATGTTGAGAAAAATGTACCATTATTTTTGGACCAGCAATAAACATAAGGTTTATTCATTAAGTTTTGCCATAACTTAAGGGGCAACATACATTGTGATCACTAGTGGTACTACTCAAGCTAAGAGGACGTAACACTATGGTTCATGTCTTTTGTTTCTTAAGGTTATCCATTGCACCAAGTGGGAGAATGTAACATTATTTTGAAATATTTGAATTAATCAAATAATAATGTCCCATAAGTGTGGTGCAATGATGGCGGATATTGTAACGGTTTCTGTTACAAGAGCCACCTTGATGGTAAGTGGCTATATAAGTGCTCCATGGTCCTCCCACTCCTCCTATCACAACATACATTCACATGTATGCTTAGCTCCATAACCGCATAGGCTCTAAGCAATATACACCATCTAGAGTGAGGAGTGAAGTGGGAGACGAAAAGGATTTCCGGTGTTCTTCCACGTTCTTCGACCGTTCATCAACAATATGGCTGGAGGTTAGCGATCCTATTATTTCCGCTGCGTTGTTATGATTTTAGGCTAACAACGTTCTCACTTTCATTTTTTTTGGACGTTTCACTTAAAAGTTCTCCAATCTATTTTATGAAACAATTAACACTTTTAAATAACCATTTAATCATCAATGATTAAAAATAATATATTTACAAATTACAACATCACAGTTTTCACCAATAACCCAGTATAATATATACTCATCAAAATTTTTTCTCAAAATATATTCGAATTAGCATATTTAATTATCGTCAAAATAATCGTGCCATGTTTTCATAGGAACCTTTAAACGAGACGGAGATAGTATATTTTTGGGAATGACTTACAAATAACGGATATGGAATAGCTGATATGGAATATATATCTAATAATACTAAGACATGTGGTGGATGTTATTTGATGGAATAAATATCTAATGATTAATTTTTATTTTAAAGGGAGTAATAATACACTATTACGGAGTACCCGTTTTTTTTACTAGATACGGAGTACTTCTATTTCTTATATACTTCGTACATAGTACTACCGTATATACTGTATTTATGTTCGAACTTGCCAGGTTGGCAATCCGCAGGTTGTTTCTAAGGGCATGTTTGGATGGAGTGTTTGGAAGTGTTAGTAATGGAAGTGTTAGTAAGTGTTAGTAAGGGCTCGGAAGGGAAGGGAAGTGTAAGTGTTAGACATAATTTTACCTTGTTTGGGAGAGTCAAATGAATGAAGTGTTAATAATTTTACCTTGTTAAAGAAAGAATAAAGAAAGAGTAAAGAGAAGAGATGAAAAAACAAACCATCAGACCCGTGGGAAAGACATTCGAAGTGAAATGTCGAAGCATTTTATGTTTTTCGGGCAAATGAGAAGGGTAATAATTGTCCAACACCTCAAAACACTCCAAATCGGGGTGTTAAAAAAATGGACAATTGAGGTGTTGGGAAGGTTATTATTAACACTTCCTAACCATTACTAACACTTCTTAACACTTCTGATTGTTTCTCCCAAACAAGTGTTAGCATCAACACTTACTAACACTTCCATTACTAACACTCCTCAACACTCAATCCAAACAGGCCTTAAGCCGCGGTCAGGTCTCCCGCTCCGCTACCTAAAACCCATTTTCATTTCTGCTTGCGCGCTTCTTCCTTTCTCTAATTCTCTCTCAGAAACAAAACCCACAGACAGATCAAGAAGATTTCGGACCGTTTGTAATCGGACCGTTGGCAATCCGCAGGTTGTTACAACTCCATCACCAAGTCGTCGGTCTCTCCTGCGCTCTCTATATATTCGAACATGACCGTTGCCTCATCTTTAAAACCCCATTTCTCCCTTTCAGACAGAGTGGCCGGCCGGAGTTCAAGATCGAAAATCTGGTTTTGAAGCTTACCGGAGCTCGTCAATGTCGACGCACGCCCTTTTCCTGCCAGTAATTTTCTCAATCCAATCTTTTCTTGAATACCCTCTTAATCTTTTCTGATCCTATAGCGCGCTTTGTGTTTTTATGTTCTTGATCAATTCTATGATGAAAAGTACAGCGTTTTTTACTTTCTTGATCGATCGATGCATGAATTCTGAAAACAGGGTCTTCTGTCTTCTGATAAAAATATTGTTAATAACTTGCTGAAATCTTTAAATCATTAAACCCTTTTCCTCCCGTTCAGAAAGAGAACCCAGACAGACAAACAGAGAGGTTTTGAAGGCGATCAAAGCTAGTCAACTTCCACACTCTGACACAAGCCTTGTTCCTGCGGTAATTCTCGCAATCCAATCTTTTCTTAATTTTTCAGAGAGCTTTGTTCAGTTTGTTGTACTTTCTTGATTGATTCTATGATGAAAAGTGCCATTTTTTTTTTTGAAATTCTGTCTTGCTTCTTGATCGATCCATGCATGCTTATTGCTAGATTTTTTTGTTCTGAGAAGTTGTGATTTATTGAAGACCCAATTTTAATTTGATTTTTTTTTTATTCGATGATGAAATCTGTGTTTGGATTTCATACTGCAGCGAGATTTCATATACTGTGAAGTTGTTCCCATAATTCCCATATTTTGACTTTATCCACAACGTTGGATTTACTTTTACTGGGCTTCGTTTCAACTGGGTGTTTTTTCTGTTGGCTATGATTCATACTCCTTTATCTTGTTAAAGCTGATTTGCTGCTATTGCAGCAAACAAAATTAATAGATTCCATACCACTTCTCAAGAAACTTGCTCAAACAAAAATTTATTGTGAAGATAATAGATCGCACATGTTCTAGCATCTTTTGTGCATAATTGCTTTAAATTGCTCAAACATGTGATTTCTTCAAATTGCTTTAATATTTGGTCTTCATTTTATGAAACTTTTATTATGCCAATGGATCGAACATGTTGCAAAGTTCCCAAGGCATAACTTTAGCAGAATCTATACGTGGGAACATTCTGAATTAGCAATAAATTGATTATCTAGGCTTTAGGCATAAATGATACTAATACGTATGTGCTGAGCTGATTCCCCCCACCCCCACCTCCCGAACTTGTAGTATTAAAAAAAATCAAATTAATTTTAGACTATTAATTGGTATAACACAGTTATGCCACATTTCACAAATTGAGTGCTATGTGTTTTCTGTGTATATCCTTGCCTGACATGTCTGCAGGAGGTACTGATAACACTTAAGATACTGTCCTCACAAGCTGAGATTGGACTTTCTCTTCAGTCCTTAAATTTTTCTTGATGCATGGTTCAGCATCTCCGCCAGAAGGTTAAGGCCATCTTCATCCAAATAAGGGACAGCAGATGAATGCCATTCCTTTGAGGAGCAGGTAAAGGAGACTCTTAACAGTTTCGGGGTGGATGTTTTCTCCAGTCTGGCGGATGCTTCAGGTATTATTTTCTGTGCATTTCTGGATTGCTATCCATCTATTTAATATCCTGAAACTTTCATTTATAGCGTATTCAGGCTACGTTTTCTTGATTACTATCAATCTGGGTTTAATGGAAGTCATAGTTGCCTCATGGCATCTGGATCTCATCTCAATTCTCCTTGTACGGCAATGGTGATATAGCAGCATTGCAAGAAATCAGGTATGTATTACTACACCAATATTGTTGAAGCATATCACTTCTTGAATCGACATATTCACTGTTTATTAACAATTGATTCGTAATTACAATCATCTTGTGCTTGTCTAGCATCGTCCCAGCCCAATCTTGACTTTCAACCTAGATGCTGAAAAGTGAAAATATTACAAATATTAGATAAAAAGTCTTCTTAGAACTCTTAAAAGATCATACACATAACCACTTGAGCGAGTGCCTAATGAAAAGAACAAGAATACTATAGTTCAATCAGCACATAAATCATAATGCTGCCTCAATGTGAGTATCTTCAGAACAATTCTGCACAAAAATAACAAAATTCCCTCCAAGTGATTGAAACAGTATGTTATTGATAATTAATCAATCTTCGGAACAATTTTGCTTCTTGCATAATTGACGATTCAAGTGAATAAAATATTTTTCATATCACTTAAGAAAACACATAAAGATTAGATTAATTAAATTCTGTAGAGAACCCCAACTATAAAGAAATATTCTGATTCAAGCCAATGATTTCAGCTCATTCAACAACAACAACAATTAATTAGAGAAGAAATCATTACGTTCAACACAAAACTATGAACTTGAATTGCAGTGCTTTAAATAAATCCTAACAATTACGATTTAAATAATAATATCAGTACTAAACTACTTAAAAGATTCAGATATGTAAACAAGTCACTATATGATTAAACTAAAAAATAAACACTATATGAGTGTACGACTTACCTGTTATTGGGTGATTACAGGGATTGCCAAATCTCTAAACTTCAAAATTGCAATAATAACCTATCAAATTCATAAAAATGATAGAGGTAGAACAAATGGAGATAATTTTGTCATACGAGTGAGTGTTTCCATATCATGCGTTAAAAACTTTGCAAACACCCCGTCACACTATTTACAAATTGATATATAGCAAAACAGATAACCGAATAAATAATAAAAAAATATTACATACTGCTAAAGAGGTAAACTTATAAAATAATACAAGTCTAAAAATTAACATATGTATCTTAAATAAGGATTAAAGGTTTAGGAATTAGATTAGGAATTAAGTTTTAGGGATTAGGGTTGAGGAATTAGGGTTTAGAATTTAGGAATATATTTTAGGGTTTAGGAATTAGTGTTTAGGGTCAGGAGTTAGGGTTTAGGAATCAGGAGTTAGAGTTATAGGAATTAGGGCTCAGGATTTAGGAATTTGGGTTTAGAGTTATAAGAATTAGGGCTCAGGTTACGAATTAGGGGATTAGGTAGGGTTTAGTTAGTGTTAGGGGAAATAGGAATTAGGATGTAGAAATTAGGAATTAAGTTTTAGGGATTAGGGTTTAGAGTTTAGGGTTTTACGAATTAGGGTTTAGGAATTTGGATATAAAGTTTAGGAAAGTCTAGTGCTTAGCGTTTCGGAATCGGAGGGGGGGGGGGGTTAGAAATTAGGAATAGGTTTAGATTTTAGTAATAGATTTTAAGGTTTAGGAATAGATTTCAGGGTTTAGGAATTAGGGATTTAGGTTTAGAAATAGATTTCCCTGACCCACGGTTTATTTCCGTGACCCACCATTTATTTCCCTGACCCACCGTTTATTTTCCCTGACCCACACGGTTTATTTCCCTGACCCACGGTTTATTTCCCTGACCAACGTTAATTTCCCTGACCCACCGTTATTTTCCCTCCCTGACCCACCGTTAATTTCCCTGACCCATCGTTATTTTCCCCGACCCACCGTTTATTTCCCTGACCCACCGTTATTTTCCCTGACCCACCGTTATTTTCCCTGACCCACACCGTTTATTTTCCCTGACCCACACGGTTTATTTCCCTGACCCACGGTTTATTTCCCTGACCTACCATTTATTTTCCCTGACCCACCGTTTATTTTCCCACTGACCCACCGTTATTTTCCCCGACCCACCGTTTATTTTCCCACTGACCCACCGTTATTTTCCCCGACCCACCGTTTATTTCCCTGACCCACCGTTATTTTCCCTGACCCACCGTTATTTTCCCTGACCCACACCGTTTATTTTCCCTGACCCACACGGTTTATTTCCCTGACCCACGGTTTATTTCCCTGACCCACCGTTTATTTCCCTGACCCACCGTTTATTTCCCTGACCCACCGTTTATTTCCCTGACCCACGGTTTATTTCCCTGACCCACCGTTTATTTCCCTGATTTCCTTGACCCACCGTTTATTTCCCTGACCCACCGTTAATTTCCCCGACCAACGGTTTATTTCCCTGACCAACGTTAATTTCCCTGCTGACCCACCGTTATTTTCCCCGACCCACCGTTATTTTCCCTCCCTGACCCACCGTTAATTTCCCTGACCCACCGTTTATTTTCCCTGACCCACCGTTTATTTTCCCACTGACCCACCGTTATTTTCCCCGACCCACCGTTTATTTCCCTGACCCACCGTTATTTTCTCTGACCCGCCGTTTATTTCCCTGACCCACCGTTTATTTCCCTGACCCACTGTTTACTTCCCTGACCCACGGTTTATTTCCCTGACCCACCGTTTATTTCCCTGACCCACCGTTATTTCCCCTGACCCACACCGTTTATTCCTCTGACCCACAGTTATTTTCCCTGACGTTAATTTCCCTGACCCACCGTTTATTCCCTTGACCCACCGTTTATTTTCCCTGACCCACCGTTAATTTCCCTAATTCGTAATCTTCCTTTCACCCTATAAAATCTATTCCTTAACTATAAATCCCTAATAAATTTCTAAATCCCGCCTATCCTAATTTCTACACTCAATTCCTAAAATCTAATTCCTAATTTCTAAACCCTAAAATCTAATTCCTAATTTCTAAACCCTAAATCCTAATTCCTTAACTCTAAACCCTAAATCCTAATTCCTTAACTCTAAACCCTAATAATTCCTAACCCTAAACCCTAAATTCTAATTCCTAAACCCTAAAACCTATTTACCTAATTTCTAACCCCTAATTCCTAATTCCTAACCTAAACCCTAATTCATAAAACCTAAATGCTAAACCCTAATTCCTAAACGCTAAATTCAAATTACCCTAAACCCTAATTCCTAAAACCTGAACCCTAAAACCATCCTAAACCAAAATCCCTAAATGGTAAAACCTAAACCCTAATTCGTAAACAACCCTGAACTTAAATTCCTAACTCTAAAACCTTAGATTCTAAACACTAAGCCCTAAATCCTTAACCCTAAACCCTAAGCCTTAATCCTAAACCCTATTTATCCTAAGCCCTTAACCCTAAATGTTTTTAGACACATGTTTTATAATGAGTTAAATGATTAAATTGATCTTTTAATTGTTAAGGACATAGGTTGATTTATTAAAAGATTATATACGGAAGTTTTTTTTTACTTTTTAGTGGTACACATGTCCGCTATATATCAATTTGTAAATAGGGTGACTCTGTTTGCAATGTAGGGGTTCTCAACATAATTTAATCTAATTTTTTTGTGTGTCTTTTCATGAAAGATTTCAATCACTTGGAGGGAATTTTGTTGTTTTTGTGCAGAATTGTTCTGAAGATGCTCATTGAAGTGGCTGGGATTAAGAAGTAATCCTTCAACAATATTAGTGTAGTTACCTGATTTCTTGCAATGCTGCTATGTCACCATTGTACAAGGAGACTTGAGATGAGATCTAGAGGCCAGAGGCAAGTAATCAAGAAAACAGTAGCCGCATAAATGAAAGCGTCATCCTGATACTAAATAACAGGACCGGTTTATTACATAGAAAACAGAGCATCGGATATGGTGGAAAAAACCTCCACCCCGAAACTGTTAATTAAGGTGGCCTTGACCTTCTGGCGGAGATACTGCAGTATGACTGAACCATCAAGAAGAATTTCAGGAGAGAAAGCTATGAAGCAAGTCGAGTCTGTAGGGTGGAGGCAACAACTAAACTTTTAGTCTTTCTTTTTAGTCTTTCAGTACACTTAGTTAGCCAACTTCTGTTTGTAGTACTAAATGATTTCTTCTCTAATTAATTATTATAGTATTGAATGAGCTGAAATCCTTTGCTCAAATTAGAATATTTCTTCACAGTTGGGGTTCTCAACATAATTTTATTATCCTAATCTTTTTGTGTTTTTTTTCAAGTGACATAAGAAGTCACTTGGAGGGATTTTGTTATTTTTGTGCAGAATTGTTCTGAAGATCGTGTGCAAACGATGATAACAGTAATTGTTAAAAGTCAAGATTGGGCCGGGACGATACTAGACAAGCACAAGATGATTGTCATTAGGAATCAATTGTTAATAAACGGTGAATACATACCTGATTTTTGGCAATGCTTCTATGTCACCATTGCCGTACAAGGAGACTTGAGACAACTTTGACTTCCATTAAATCCAGATTGATAGTAATCAAGAAAAAGTAGCATGAATGCGCAAAGAAAACTAAATACTAAGTAGATGGAAAGCAATCCAGAAATGCACATAAAACAGAGCATCGGTTCACCTGAAAAGATTTATCCGACTGGATGGATAAAACATCCACCCCGAAACTATCCTCCTCAAAGGAGTGGCTTTCATCTGCTGTCCCCAATCTGCATAATACAGGACTGACGAGAGAGTCCAATCTCGTGTGGGTAACAACATTTTGCAGCGGGTGGGTATTAATCTGCCGAAAAACAAACCAGGCCAATATCTTAACTCTTAAGTGTACAAACCAGGCCAGTATTGGACTAAACCCATGCAAAAGCCTGATCAAAGTACCTCCTGCAGACATGTCAATGAAAGCATAAATCAGTACTGCCCATTCTTCACTTAGATATAAAAAAATCAGGTGAATCACAGAAAACAAAGGCACTCTTTTCTTCTTTTTTTCTTTGTGAAATTTGGCATAACAGTGTTCAGTAGTCTAAATCCAGTTTGAATGTTAGATCAGCTCAGCATATACGTATTAGAATCATTTACGCCCAAAGCCTAGAGCATCAATTTGTTGCTAATTCCGTCTCAATATAAGATGCAATGTATGTCTTGGTTCTATTCAGAAAATGCTCGCATGTAGTAATCTACTCCAATAATATAAAACTTCTTACTTTTCATCCAATCGAAACATTGCAGTTAAATATTGCCTGTATAAAGAGGTTCTGCTAAAGTTACATGTTTGATGCATTGGCATAATATTGGAATCAAAGCAACTGTAACAGATATTACCCCAATGAGGTGCATGTTAAAAGACCAATTAAATGCAATGACACGTACATTTGAGGTAAAGATGTGAAGCGACAAATGTAAGACAGTAAACGAAACAGATAAAACCTTTTGTCACAATCACCGACTGTAACAAACTTGCAATGGCTACATATTCCATGCCCTGGGTTTCTGCAGGGAAACAAGAGTCATTCAGTAAGCCTGTTCTGGACTCGGACATGTATTACAATTGAAAAAGAACACAGTGCCGAAAATGTTGTTCTCAAGGTTGGAAGTCTTACTACATGCTCTATTTGCAAGATTTGTGGCACTGCGGGGAAAGGTTGCAAGTGCTGCCATAACACCGACCTGCAGGATTTTTTTGATGTTAAGCAATTGAGAGGTCGAGAATTCTCTTGCAGCATAGTAATCCTTTTCAACCAGCCAATGACTTCATATTTCATGTATTTATAAAGACTCCAGACAACATACTATCTCATGCACATAATAAAAACTAAAACTCTATGGTGTATCGTGTATCATCAATCTGCTACTACTTCAGAAAAGAACCAAATTGAAATGACTTTTTTCAAATAAAAACGGTGGTAGAAGCTTGTCTCCTAATAGCTTACTTGCAGCAACAATGTTGTTACAGACTGGTATGGCAATTATGAACAAAAGATGCTAGAACATGCAGAATAAAAGTCCTATAAAATGAAGACCAAATATTAACACTAGTTTTTTGTTTGAGTAAGTTTCTTGAGAAGTGGTATGGAATCTATTAATTTTGTTTGCTGCAATAGCAAATCAGCTTTAAAATAATGGCCAACAGAAAAACACCCAGTTGAAACGAAATTTAAAGTGAATCCACCGTTGTGGATAAAGTCAAAATATGGGAATAATGGGAACAACTTTACAGTATGTAAGTTGAAGCCAAAGAGACGCAAAGTTAGTCAAGCTGCAGGAGATGCTCTCATGCTCCCAAAGACCCAAAAACAGATTTCATATTCGAATAAAAAAACAAATAAAATTAAAATTGGGTGTTCAATAAATCAAAACCTCTCAGAGCAAAAAATCTAGCTATAAACATGCATGGATCGATCAAAGAATCAAGAAAGTATTTCAGAAAACAGGGTACTTTTCATCATAGAATCAATCAAGTACAACACAAAGCTCTTGGATCGGATTGAGCATCTAAAAAATACCGCATGAACAAAACCTCTATGTCTGTCTGTGCAAGTTATTAACAAGTCCAGAGAGACAGAAGATTTCCCTGTTTTCAGAATTCGTGCATTGATCGATCAAGAAAGTAAAAAACGCTGTGCTTTTTATCATAGAATTGATCAAGAAAGTAAAAACAAAAGGCGCGCTCTTGGATCGGACTAAAAAATTAAGAGGGTATTCAAGAAAAGATTGGATTGAGAAAGCTACCGGCAGGAACAAGACGTGCGTCGACGTTGACGATCACTTTCAAAACCAGATTTTCGATCTTGAACTCCGGCCGTCCACTCTGTCTGTAATTGAGAAATGGGGTTTTAAAGATGATGTAACAGTCAAGTTCAAATTTATGGGAAATATTGGAACAAGGCGTGCTTCTACATTCTACAAGCTCCGATCACCTTCAAAACGAGATTTTCGATCTTGAACTCCGGCCGGACACTCTGTCTGAAAAGGAGAAATGGGGTTTTCAAGATGAGGCAACGGTCAAGTTCGAATATATAGAGAGCGCAGGAGACCGACGACTTGGTGATGGAGTTGTAACAACCTGCGGATTGCCAACGGTCCGATTACAAACGGTCCGAAATCTTCTTGATCTGTCTGTGGGTTTTGTTTCTGAGAGAGAATTAGAGAAAGGAAGAAGCGCGCAACCAGAAATGAAAATGGGGTTTAAGGTAGCGGAGCGGGAGACCTGACCACGACTTGTAACAACCTGCGGATTGCCAACCTGGCGACGCTGGTCCCGCAACTGATGTTTTTATGTTTGATGTGAGACCAGATCAGTCTCGAATAGGGCTATTAACGAACCAAGCTTTTATCATCAGACTTTTCGAGTTCGAGCTCGAGCTCGGTTTCGAATCTAACGAGTCGAGCTTAACGAGCTTTCGAACTCGAACCCGAACTGAGTTTTAAGTTCGAAAAATTATTCGAGCCGAGCTCGAACATAGTAGTATTCGGCTCGGTTCGAACTCGAGCCTATCGAACACCTTAAAATTATAAATACAATTTATATTTGATCAAAATTTAAATATAATTAAAATGATTTTACAAATTTAAATGTGATTATTAACGAACCGAATACTTGTCGAATCATTTGAGCACGAGCCTATTAACGAGCGCTCGGTTCGAACATCGAACGCCTACCGAGCCGAACACGAGCCTTATTTGTAAAGCTCTCCGAGCTTCGAGCTCGAACCCGAACACCATTAATTCCTTATCGAGCCGAACTCGAGCCTTAGGTGTTCGTGCTCGGCTCAGCTCGTTAACAGCCCTACTCTCGGGTAGGAGCGTGGGGTTCTTGGAGTTGAGAATTCAACCTTTTGAACCAATGGGATATCAAATCAAACTTTCAAAATTATAAAATACAAAAATCAGGTAGTTACCACATTAGATCAGATCAGTTCAAATTAGACCAAATCAGACCAGGAAAGTTTAGTCCGAATAAAAACATTCTTATTCTGTTTAACATAATTTAAACCTTAATAAGGCTCTCTTTTATTTTTAGTCCAATATTTTAATGTATAAAACTTTATATATTTATACAGAGTACATATATAATACTCCCTCCGTCCCGCTAAGATTGTCCCATTTTACCTTTTCGGGAAGTCCCACTAAGATTGTCCCATACCATATTTGGTAAAGATTGTGTGGCTCTAAATCATTCTAACTTTATTCTTACTTTATCAATTTAATATCAACCACACAAACCTACTTTTCTTAATAATCGTGCCACATTCTTTCGTCCCAATCTTAGTGGGACGGAGGTAGTAACACTTTGTTCTCGTACAAAATATGTACGTAGTAATTTTTATGGGGCAAAGAATGCAAAAAATCAATTTTTTTACATTGTAAACATATATTAACACTTTTGCGAAAGAATCTTAAATATAAAGTAATATTTTGAAATAATATTTTATACTAACAATATTAAATTGTAATATACAAACAATACAATGTAGAATTAGACACAAATACAATTTTAAAATTTTTATTTTTTTATTTCGAATTTATAACTTTTTTTTGGTATTTTTTGAAATTTATTTTGTGAATTTAAAGTCAATAAGGGTAAACTTTCTCTTTTATAAGAATATGAGGGGTAGTTTTGCACCTTTTAAAAGTCAAGGGGTATATATGCACTTCTAAATATACTTCAGGGGTATATTTTTTCAAAAAATAGAACAAGGGAAATAGAACAAGGGTATATTTGTTCTCAAACTCAACCTTTCCTATATACTACTACTCCCTCAGTCCAGAAAATGTTGACCAAATTTCCTTTTTTGGGTGTTCCAAAAAGATTTGTCATTTCCATTTAAAGTAAGGAATATGTGGCTAAAATTAATCATCTCTCGTCTGCACAAATTTCAATCACACAGTTCTTACTTTATACATCCACGTGAAAGTTAACTTTGGCCAACCTTTTCGGGATGGAGGGAGTAAGTGAAATAAATATCTGAACCACTTTTTCAATAAAAATAACACAGTTCAATGCAAATAATGGATACTCCGAGAACCACTTTTTCAATTTTAATTTTTTAAATGAATAGCTGACATGGAATAAATATCTAATAGTATTAAGACATGTGGTGGATGTTATTTTATGGAATAAATATGTAATAATTACTCCCTCCGTCCCGGAAAATTCTTCCCACTTTGACTTGGATCGGAGTTTAATGCAAGTGATAAATGACATTAACTTTCCATGTATACCCCTATACTAAAGAAAGAGGCGGCCGAAAGGGAAGGGGGTAAAAAAATTTACTGCAAGTGCAAAAAAGCAATATTTGATATGAAAGCTGCAAAACAAGGGATATTTCCCTGCGCATAGGATACAATCCAGGCTGTTTTGGAAACCCTACTTACATAAAAACTTCCCTCCAAAAATTCCCTCCCTTTTTACCATCTATAAATACACTTTCTAAAAGAAGAGTTTACTACACACAGCACACACAACACACTAGGCTACATACAGACTACATTTACGGCAGCCAACATAAATGTTGCCCAGTCTTCTTCTTCCCTTTCTACATCTTCCATAAATGAAGATTTGGCTTCATCTCCATTAACTGCTTCTGCACCTTCCATAAATGAAGACCTGCATCCATCTTCATTAGGCTCTTCTGCAGATCTGCAAACAACAACACAAGACCCAAGCTCAAATATCAAAGCAAAACAATTAGGAAACAAGGAAAGAGAGAGCATAGTAGATGAAATGCTAATCACTGTTAAAAGAGATATTTCTGGGGCATTACTAGCTCAGAGAGATTTGTTTTCTAAGCTAACCACTAAATACTCAGTGACTAGAAAAACTATTTTCAACATTTGGAACACAACCAAAGAGCAACTTGAAAAAGGAGATGTTGTAGATGTAAGTACAAAGTGGGTGGGAAACTCAGGCAGAAAAAAGTCATGTTTGATGTTAGTCATATTCCAGAAATCCCTATCCATAAAAGGACCAACATAGGGGCACTTGCATCTGCCTCTTCACTGTCAAGCTCACTCATTCACAAGCTGGTTCACAGAGGTATTCTCAGAAGTCACACTAATGTTATACAACCTTTGCTAAGTGACACAAACATGATGTCAAGACTGAATTTCTGTTATAGGCGGGTAGACACATCAATTCCATCAAAACCAGTTTTTATAAACTTTCAGAATGTCATACACATAGATGAAAAATGATTTTTCCTGTCCAAAACATCACAAAGATACTACATGGGCCTACAAGAGCAAGATCCACATACAGTATGCAAATCCAAAAGATTCATAACTAAAGTTATGTCACTAGGAGTAGTTGGTAGGCCTCTACTTGTAGATAATGGTGATGTAATTTGGGATGGGAAAATTGGTGTTTTTCCATTTGTTGAGAAAGTGGCAGCTAAACAAAACGGCAAAAACAGAAATGCAGGGGTCATGGAAACCAAACCTATACTCAGCATTACAAAAGCAGTGTTTAAAGACATGCTAATACACACAGTGCTACCTACAATCAAGGACAAATGGCGTGAACAATTAAGCAAGGACATCACTATCCAACATGATAATGCAATGCCACACATTCTAGATTCTGATCTTGATTTTATGGCTGCCTCTAAAGCAGATGGGGTTAACATTAATCAGCCCCCTAATTCCCCATATCTCAACATACTAGACCTTGGATTCATTAGGGCAATCCAGTGTCTAAAAGACCAGAAAGCACCTAAGAATGCGAATGAAATGCTACAGACAGTTGGTGAGGCATTTTATGAGGTTTCACCCATGACTCTCAACAAGGTGTGGCTTAGCTTTCAATATGTGATGTTAGAAATTTTCTGGGGGGGGGGGCAACTACAAGCTACCACATAATGCAAAGGATAGAATGATTGCAGAAGGAACTCTGCCGACATGCATAGAGGTTGATGTGGAGCTGCTTGATGTTGTAGGAGGTCTTTTATCCCAACCAGTAAATACCACCAGTACTAATCAAAACTCAAAAGAGTCAAATAGTGGGGAGTTCATACTAGAAGATGATGAGGAGTAGTTCATCTTCAGTCATGAACTCTATCCATTATTGTATAGGCCTGGTTTTTTGTCATTTTGTATAGGCCTATACTTATTTAAATTTAGAAAAGGTCATAGTTTTTGTCATTTTGTGAAGGCCTATATTTTTGTCATATAAAGGCCTTTTTTTGTGAATTAGTACTAACCTGTATTTTTAGCTACTCAGAATTGAATTCATCATTGTAGCATAACAACAATATTGCTTAGATTACACATTGTCTGATGTTTATTGTAGGATTGCGATGAAATGATGGAGACAATGCGGCCGGCAGAGAGTGTCGGCATATACAAATCCTTCGCTGCGGCGGTAAGGCAGCCTCTCCCTGGCCGTCCACCATACTCACAGACTCGCCTCTTTTCTTCTGTGACGAACCTCGACCTTCCTTCGAAACCCGTTGGACGATTCAAGGGAGTCCCCTCTGTCTCTTTCTCTGAAGATGAAATCACCAATCTTTCCTCCAATTTCAGGTATGCTCTGGTTGGTACTTTCAATCATGGGTGCCCGCCTTTACTATCCCTTCGTAAAGCTTTTGATGTAATTGGATTCTCCCAGCCCTATTATTTAGGGTTTATTGACAATAAACATTTGTTAATCAATTTCGATGTTGAAGAGGATTTTCAATGATTTTGGATTCGTAACTCATGGGATTTTTATGGGTTTGCTATGAAAATCACTCGTTGGACCCCTAAATTCAACCCTGATATTGAATCCCCTCTTGCCCCGGTCTGGGTGATTCTTGAAGGTCTGCCAATCCATCTTCACAATCTTAAAGCTCTGTATTATATTGGTATTTTGCTTGGCAGGCCTCTTTATATAGATGCTCATACTGCAAATTTCTCACATCCCACTTTGGCGAGGCTTTGTATTGAACTGAACGTGTCAAATCCTGTGCCCCAGAAAATATAGATTGAAAATGGAAGCCAGGGATTTTTTCAGCATATTAAATATAAAAATTTGCCTCGTTATTGCTCCAAGTGTTTTCGATTTGGTCACGAAACCAAATCCTGTTCTATGAAATCTTCTAATACGATGCATATTACTTATGTTTCCCCATCTTTAGATACAAATGCTTTAGTACCCAACTTGCAGCTTGTTAACATTGAAACTAATCCGGTTTCAAATGAC